AGGAATAGCATTGAACCTGTAAATTGCTTTGGGCAGTCTGGCCATTTTAACAATATCCATTCTTCCTATCCATGAGCATGGAATGTGTTTCCATTTGTTTGTGTCATCTCTGATTTCTTTGAACAGTGTTTCGTAATTCTTGTTGTAGAAATCTTTCACCTCCCTGGTTAGCTATATTCTTAGGTACTTTATCCTTTATGTGGCTATTGTGAATGGGATTGTGTTCTTAATTTGGCTCTCAACTTGGATGTTGTTGGTGCATGGGAATGCTACTGATTTTTGTATGTTAATTTTATATCCTGAAACTTTGCTGAAGTTGTTTATCAGATCAAGGAATTTTGGGACAGAGACTATGGGGATTTATAGGTATACATTCATATCATCTGCAAACAGGCATAGTTTGACTTTCTCTCTTCCTGTTTGAATGCCTTTTTTTTTTCTTTCTCTTGCCTGATTGCTCTGCCCAGGATTCCAGTACTACGTTCTGTAGGAGTGATAGAGAGAGCACCCTCTCTTGTTCTGGTTTTCAAGGGAAATGCTTCCAGATTTTGCTCATTCAGTATGTTGGCTGTGGGTTTCTCATAGCTGGCTCTTATTATTTTGAAGAATGTTATTTCAATGCCTAATTTATTGAGCATTTTTAACATGAAGGGATGTTGGATTTTATCAAAAGCTTTTTCTGCATGTATTGAGATAATCACGTAGTTCTTGTTTTAAATTTTGTTTATGGGGTGAATCACATTTATTGATTTGTGCATGTTGAACCAACCTTGCATCCCAGGGATAAAGCTTACTTGTGTGTGTGTGTGTGTGTTGTGTGTGTGTGTGTTCAAAACAGAGACACATCAACTGTACACTGAATACATTTCAAACAGAAACCTTTCATAAATAAGTGAATGAATAAATGAGTGAATACTTCCATATGAGTTAATACTTCCAATCAACAAAAATAAAAGTAGAGAAAATAAAGTCGGCCAAACCATTTTCTTGATACAATTTTTTTGGTCAGGAAGAGAAAAATTTATTATCAGTTGTTCTGATTCTACATGGACACAATCTGAATATGGATACTGCTCTGGTTTGAATATGTCTCCCAAAAGTTCATACCCTAGAAACGTAATACCCAGTGCAACAGTGTTAAGAGGTGGGACCTTTAAGAGGTGATTAGATCATGAAGGTTCCGCCTTCATGAATAGATCAATGCTGTTATTGTGGGAGTGGGTTCCTTACCTCAAGAGTGTGCTCCTGATGAAAGGATAAGCTTGGCTTCTATTTATTCTCTCTCAAGTGTATCCATGTATTTGCCATGTGATGCTTTCATGTGGGGATACGCACAGATGAGCAATTAAGGATGCAGTAAGAATATCCTCACCACATGCCAGTGCCAAACTCTTGGACTTCCCAGCCTCCAGACCCATGAGCCAAATAAACTTCTTTTCTTTATAAATTACCCAATCTGTAGTATTGTTACAGCAGCAGAAAATGAACTAAGACAGGCACACTACCCATTTGGCAAATAAAATAACCAAACAGATTTAGAAGATCTTAAACCTAATTATACCCATGAACTTGTGGGGAAAAGAAAGAGAGATCAGCCTGTTACTGTGTCTATATAGAAAGAAGTAGACATAAGAGATTCCATTTTGTTCTGTATTTGAGATGCTGTTAATCTGTAACCCTACCCCCAACCTTGTCCTTGCAAGAGACATGTGCTGCGGTGACTCAAGGTTTAATGGATTTTGGGCTGTGCAGGATGTGTCTTTGTTAAACAAGTGCCTGAAGGCAGCTTGCTGGTTAAAAGTCATCACCATTCTCTTAATTTCAACTGCCCAGGGACACTTACATGGCCAAAGGTCGCAGGGACCTCTGCCTAGGAAAGCTAGGTACTGTCCAAGGTTTCTCCCCATGTGATAGACTGAAACAATGCTGCTAAAAGGTTTATGGAGATGTTTGCATATGCATCTCAAGGCACAGCATTTTCCTTTAAACTTATTCATGTCACAGAGGTTTTTGTTCATTTGTCTTACTGCCTGCCGATTTCCTCCCTACAATGATCCTATTGTCCTGCCACTCCCTTATCTTTAAGATGGTAAAGATAATTATCAATAAATACTAAGGGAACTCAGAGACCGGTGCCAGCGTGGGTCCTCTGTAAGCTGAGCGCCGGTCCCCTGGGCCCACTTTCTCTTTCTCTATACTTTGTCTGTGTGTCTCATTTCTTTTCTCAAGTCTCTCGTTCCACCTAACGAGAAACACCCACAAGTGTGGAGGGGCAGGCCACCCCTTCAGAACTTCTTATTCTACCTGGTCTGTTTTGAATTTTTGTCTTGGCTTGCTTCATAAGGACCTTATAGAGAAGCCCCAACTCCAAAAAAAAAAAAATCACCAAAATAAATAAATAAATAAACCAGTAGATAATTTGTTAAGCCCATATCCACCACCCAAAAAGGTAAAACTTACAATGTCTGATAACCATTCAGCAATTAGCAGAATTAACATTCCAAATTGGCATTTGGAAGTAGGAAATTATGATTTGTAATGAGGACAAAAATCAATCAATTGAAACTGACATAAGAATCATACAGATGATAGAATTACTAGACAGGACATTAAAATAGTTAGTACAACGGTATTCCTAAAGTTCAAGAAGCTAGAGGAAAGATTGCACATGATGACTAGAGGCATGGAAGACCTTCCAGAGATAAAAACTACAATATCTGATATGAAAAATAACAGCAGATTAAACATTGGAGAAAAAAAGGTTAGTAAACTTGAAGACATAGCAATAAAAGCTATCCAAAATGAAACTAGAGAGAATTAAAAAAAAGAAAGAAAGAAAATGAACAGAGCATCGGGGAACCAAGGGACAACTTCAAACATCAAATATACATGTAATTGGAGTTCCCAAAGGACAAGAGAGATTGTTTCCAGTTTTGAGCAATTTTGAATAAAACTTCTGTGAATATCTACATATCTATATGGGCATATGCTTTCAGTTCTCTTGGGTATATACCTGGGAAAGAAACTGCTGAGTCCTAGGGATTGTATATATTTAACTCTTAAAGAAATTGTCAAACCATTTTCCAGGAAAGTTTTGCCATTTTACACTCCTGCCAGGGTGGATTAAAATTCCAACTCCTTCACATCCTCACCAACATTTTATAGTGTTATTACTCATTTTAATTTTTTTAGCTTTCCTAGTGGATGTGTAGTAATATCTCATCGTGGTTTTGATTTGCTTTCCCTGATGACTAATATTGTTGAGTATCTTTTCATGGGTTTGTTGGCTACTCATATATATATATATACTTTTTATGAATGTCTATTGAAATATTTTGCTTTCTGTTTTATTGGATTATTTGTCTCACAAAGAGTAAGAGTTCTTTATATATCCTGGATATAATTCAAATTTAATTATTGCACATATTTTCTCCTTTTCTGTGGCCTTCATCATTTTTGTAATGATGACTTTTTAAACAGGTTTTTGAGATGTAATTGACATACAACAAACTACACACACTTATAATATAAAATCTTCTGTTTTAACATCTGTTTACATCCCCGAAACACTGTGTACAATCAAGTTAATGAATATATCCTCCACTGCCCAAGTTTCCTGGTGCCCCTTTTGAATACCTCCCTACTACTCTTCTATCCCCATCCTCAGGCAGCTATTAATCTGCTTTATGTCACTACAAGCTACTTTAAATTTTCTATAATCTTATATCCGTGAAATCATATAGTATGTCTTCTTTTTGTTTGTTTTCTTTCATGAGCATAATTATTTTCAGATGCATCACATTGTTCGTGTAATAATCTGTCTCCTTTTATTGCTGAGTAGTAGTCTGTCATATAAATAATAGCACATTCATGTATTTATTTACCTGTTAATGAACCTTTGGGTAGTTTCCAGGTTTGGGCTATTAAAAATGAAGCTTCTGTGAACATTTGTATAAAAGTCTTTGTGTGCATGTGTGATTTCATTTCTCTTTGGTCTGAAATCAATGACCTCAACATCCACCTTCACATGCAGGAAAAAAGCAAATGAAAGGTATAGATAGCACATGAAAGGAAATAAGAATTCGAGCACGGATCAATGAAATAGAAGACAAAAATGACGGATAAAAATCAATGAAAACAAAATCTGTTTTTTGAGAAGATAATAAAATAGATAAAATTCTGGCAGACCAATCAAAGAAGAAAGAAGACACCAAAAGATATACATTTATATTGTTATTGATATTAATATATCTTCATCAAAAGTTAAAAATTCTGTTCTTCAAAAAAAAAAATAGTGCTATGAGAATGAAAAAAGAGGATTCCGAGTAAGAGAAAATATTTTCAAATCATATATGTGATAAAAGGCTGTATCCAGAATATACAAAGAACTCTCAAAACTCAAGAATAAGGAAACGAACAACTCAAGTAAAAAATCAGCAAGAGATTTGAAGTGTTACTTCACTAAAGAAGATAAACATGGCAAATAAGGACATGAAAAGATGTTAACATCATTAGTTATGAGAGAAACACAAAACCACCGTGAGATACAATTACACACTTATTAGAATGTCTAAAATTAAAAAGATTGGCCACATCAAGTGTCGGCAAGGATATGGAGAAATTGGATCTTTTATGAATTGCTGGTGGGAATGTAAAGTGGAACAATGACTTTGGAAAATAGACTGTCAGTTTCTGAACAGGCTAAGCATACATCTCCCAAATGACCTAGCCACCCCACTCCTAAATATTCACTAAAACCCAACATTAAATCTGCAAATTTGAATAACCCAACCATGGAAGGGAGCTTCAAATTTGTGGTTTGGTTTTCCTCACAAGAAAATGTTATTCAAATGTTAATGTAGATAAAATATTATGGTTACTTTGAACATAGGCTTTCTTGCTGCTGGCTGGAGAGCCACATACAGAATTCTAGGTTGAAATGTCATTTTATGTCTTTCAAGTCACAGCATTATTTGAAGAACATCATTCATTCGTTCAACCTTTATTATGTATCAATTCTTCTTAATAACAGCTTTTTCTGTATGCATGTTGAAAGGTCTTAAGCACATGTCTGAACAAAAATTCTTTAACTTGAGCACTTTTAGACTCCCTTTGATGATACCATTGTTTTGCATATTTGCAAAGTGACTATTCCTAAAAATCTGAAATCCTTTCATAGTTTAACTACATTTGGAGTATGTTTTCCCTGGCCTGGCTCAGTTTTTCTATTATGATATCCAGTTCATATTTTCTAGTGTGTAAAAAATCATTTTTTAAAATAAATGTATCTTCATTCTGGAGTCTTCAAGATAAAAATTTTAGCCATCAGGAGCCTGACTGATTACTTTGAGCCTGAAAACCAATTCGATTCTTGTTTCTTTTGTGTCGTTGTAACTCTGGACATGCGTAGAAGCTGGGTTTACAGATCAGTAGGTGTGATATGAGAAATACATTGGGTCAAGCCTCTATCATGGAATCAGGGAAAATCAGTTTGCACTCCAATAAAAACAGAACAACTTGTTTTCGAATCTCCCAGCTTCCAATAATCCCCAGTGCTTCCATTTGTTTGGTGAAGCAGCCCAGTCTCACACTCTCCTGCTGTTGTCAGAGTCTTTGTCTCTGCCTCTGCAGTGCAAAGACCAAAGGAGATCTCAGAAAAAGCAAAGGGTAGCTGCATCTCTTGCAGTGGGGAGATATACGTGATTTCACAGTGAGAAAAGACATCTGATCTTTCTAGTCCCCTTTGTTTCCTCTCTCCAAGTTTTACAGCCCTTTTTATCTGTAAATAATAATAATAAAAAAAAAGTTGTACATACATTTTCAAAATGTGCTGCATAATACAACTTCATACATTTAGGAAGTTGACAGCTGCCCTCTGAGGTATAGCCTGACAGTCTAAAACCCAGAAATCAATCATTTAGATAGAGCGATGCCATGCTATTGCTCCCGGTATGTATTGCGGCACCCAGGAACCACTTATTTGAGATATGCCATCGTAACTCTGATAGATTAAAGCACCACATCCAGGAAACAATTGTGTGTTGAGGGGAGGGGGGATGCGATCATAGATCTGCCATGTTACAGCCCAGAATCCAGCAGCCAACCAGGCAAGTCTGTGCTGAATCGGAGTTTCCAGAAACCTGCGAAGCAGCAGGATGACAGTTCTGTTCTTCAACAGCCCATTATGAACTAATTAGCATACATGAATTGCAGATTTGAAGTATTAAAGTGATGTACAAATCATTAATTTTTTGTCAAATCTATGTCATCCTTGTGTATGCCTTCCTATTTTAATGTTGCATGACAGTGAAGAGAGGTACAATCCTCTGTATATAAAGAGGAGAGATTTGGTGTAGCTGATATAATGAGATCTATTTAAACACTATGTATTTTTCAGCTTTGAATATATCTGCTTGGAAAAAAAAATGCTACACTTGTCCCATTAGGGTTAATTGTGAAAGGATGTTAATATATTCAAAACCCCAGGGGTAGTTCTACATATTGTCTGAATGAAACAGGAGATGTAAGACCAACTTCACATTTGAGCTTTCTTTTATAAAAGTCCTCCTTCTGAGTAATAAAAGGAGCCATAAAATCTTGCTCACTGGCTGTGGAAGGTGTAACTATCTAGAATAAGAGCTCAGCTTTTAGGTGTGTGAAAGCTCCCATGCAGCAAGCAGATCTATTCTTGTTAACCCAATGCCAAATTTAATTTATAAAGATGTATAATGTAATGCAGTGGAAAAGGGAAAACAACATCAAAGTCGACTTTCATACTGCAAAAGGTTTCTAAGTATTAATTTGCAGTTTTCTGTATTGTCTCTATGTATTTAATTACTAAAGCTATTTGTGCTTAAACAAATGCTTGGTATTTCATTTGAATTTCTTATTTCATATTACAGTGGAAATTTGTTAGTACTGTAATAGTTTCCATGGTAACAGAGTCTAATGTTATACACAAATATGTATGTGGCATGTATACATGTGTGTATTATAAATATATTCTATAGGTGATTATGACTGTATTCCAAGAGCACATCTCCAAAGAATTAGCTCTTAAGGAAAACCCTAATTTAGAATGCTGGTATATTTTGTGAATCTAAAGAGATGGTTACAAACTGGGTTCTCTTTTTCATATGGGAAGAATGTTAAATTCTGAGAAGCAGGGAGATACTTGCTTTCCCTCTTCTCATAAGTTCTCTTCTGTCTGGGAGCAAAGCCATCTATGCCTAGGGTCCATACTCTATGGATTTCTCTTCTCCCTATCTGTTTCTCCACCAACCTTTTTAACAATAACTTTCCAGGAAGCTCTTACCCAAAACCCATGCTTACTTAATTGCAATTGGCCAGTCTTGTGTCACATGGCTACCAGGAAGGGAAAGGAAATCTGTGGAGTGAGTCATTTTAACTCAACCTAATGTTGCCCATAGTAAAATGAGGGTCTGCTTAGTAAAGAAGAATTGGAGTACGGTTATAAAGTGGGCAATGAGCAGCTGTCATCTGTGATAGATATTTCTGTGTGACTTCACCAAAATACACACTGATGTAGGGAAAAGGGCCCTTGCATCACAAGAAATAACTAAACACATATTCTGGCACGGAGTTAAACATCAGCTGGACATTACTCATTTCTTGCTATTTCTTGAATCTTCAGTTTCCATTCTCAGGCTCCTCTGTTTACTCTCTCTAATTTGGAGTACTGATTGGCTGCCTGATTGGTATTTGACCTTTTGCCTGTTCACTTGATACCTCTACAACACTAGTGAGATGGTAGCTCTGTGCACAGTTTGATGTGTTTTGCAGAAGCTGTGCAACAGAGTGGTTGTATTAGTCTGTTTTCATGCAGCTGATAAAGACATATCCATGCAGCTGATAAAGACATATTTGAGAGTGGGCAATTTACAAAAGAAAGAGGTTTAATGGACTCCATTCCATATTTCTGGGGAGGTCTCACAATCATGGCAGAAGGCAAGGAGAAGCAAGTCACATCTTACATGGATGGCAGCAGGCAAAAAGAGAGAGCTTGTGCAGGGAAACTCCCGCTTATAATACTGTCAGGTCTTGTGAGACTTATTTGCTATCATGAGAACAGCATGGGAAAGACCTGGCCCCATGATTCAATTACCTCCCACCAGGTCCCTCCCACAACACATGTGAATTCAACATGAGATTTCGGTGGGGACACACCAAAACCATATCATTTTGTGCCTGGACCCTCCCAAATCTCATGTCCTCACATTTCAAAACCAATCATGCATGCCTTCCCAACAGTACCCCCAAAGTCTTAACTCATTTCAGCATTAACTCAAAAGTCCACAGTCCCATGTCTCATCTGAGACAAGGCAGGACCCTTCCACATATGAGCCTGTGAAATCAAAAGCAAGTTAATTACTTCCTAGATGCAATGGGAGTACAGGCATTGGGTAAGTACATCCATTCCAAATGGGAGAGACTGGCCAAAACAAAGGGGCTGCAGGCCCCATGCAAGTCTGAAATCCAGCAGGGCAGTCAAATCTTAAAGCTCCAAAATGATGTCCTTTGACTCCATGTCTCATATCCAGGTCATGCTGATGCAAGAGGTGGGTTCCCATGGTCTTGGGCAGTTCTGCCCCTGTGGCTTTGCAGGGTACAGCCTCCCTCCCAGCTGCTTTCATGGGCTGACATTGACTGTCTGTGGCTTTTCCAGGCACATGGGGCAAGTTGTCAGTGGATCTACCATCCTGGGGTCTGGAAGATGGTGGCCTACTTCTCACAGCTCTGCTACACGGTGCCCTAGTAGTAACTCTGTGTGGGGGCTCCAATCCCACATTTTCCATCCTCACTGTCCTAGCAGAGGTTCTCCATGAGAGCCCTGCTCCTGCAGCAAACTTCTGCCTGGACATCCAAGTGTTTCTATACATTCTTTGAAATCTAGGCGGAGGTTCCCAAACCTCAATTCTTGACTTCTGTGCGCCCACAGGCTCAACACCATTTGGAAGCTGCCAAGACTTGGGGCTTGTACCCTCTGAAGCCACAGCCTGAGCTGCATCTTGGCCCATTTCAGTCACAGCTGGAGTGGCTGGGATGCAGGGCACCAAGTCCCTAGACTGTACACAGCATGGGTACCCTGTGCCGGCCCATAAAACCATTTTTTCTTCCTAGGCCTCCAGGCCTGTGATGGGAGGAGCTACCATGAAGACCTTTGACATGCCTTGGAGACATTTTCCCCACTGTCTTGGAAATTAACATTCAGATCCTGGTTACTTATGCAAATGTGTGTAACAGGCTTGAATTTGTCCTCAGAAAATGGGATTTTCTTTTCTATTGCATTGTCAGGCTGCAAATTTTCCAAACTGTTATGCTCTGCTTTCTTTATAAAACTGAATGCCTTTGATAGCACCCAAATCACCTTTTGAATGCTTTGCTGCTTTTGAAATTTCTTCTACCAGATACCCTAAATCGTTTCTCTCAAGTTCAAAGTTCCACAAATCTCTAGGGCAGGGGCAAAATGCTGCCAGTCTCTTTGCTAAAACATAACAAGAGTCACCTTTGTTCCTGTTCCCAACAAGTTCCTCATCTCCATCTGAGACCACCTCAGCCTGGACCTTATTTTTCATATCACTATCAGCTTTTTTATCAAAGTCATTCAACAAGTCTCTAGGAGGTTCCAAAATTTCCCACATTATCCTCTCTTCTTCTGAGCCCTCCAAACTGTTCCAAACTCTGCCTGTTACCCAGTTCCAAAGTCACTTCCACATTTTCAGGTATCTTTTCAGCAATGCCCTATTCTAGTGGTAAAATTTACTGTATTAGTCTATTCCCATGCTGTTCACAAAGACATACCCAAGACTGGGCAATTTATAAAAGAAAGAGGTTTAATGGGCTTACAGTTCCACATGGCTGCAGAGGCCTCACAATCATGGCAGAGGGCAAGGCAAGGAGGAGCAAGTTACATCTTACATGAATGGCAGCAGGCAGAAAGAGAGAGCTTGTGCTGGGAAACTCCCCCTTACATACCATTAGATCTCATGAGACTTATTCACTATCACGAGAACAGCATGGGAAAGACCTGCCCATGATTCAATTACCTGCCACCAGGTTCCTTCCACAACACATGGGAATTCAAGATGGGATTTTGGTGGGGACACAGCCAAACCAAATCAGTGGTCAAGAGCTAAGGAGTCACACAGAACTAGGTTCAAACTTGAGCTTCACCTCTTATAACCTGTGTGATTCTAAGCAAGTTCCTTAACTTTTCTAAACTTTGATTTCCTCACCTTGTAGATGAGGACAATGAAAATACCTTCCTCAGAGGGTTTCTATGAGGAGGAAACAAGTCAATGTACATAAAGCATCCAGAGAAATACCTGACCTATGGTAAGCATTTGAGCAATGTTAACTGTATTATAATAATTTCTGTCAGTCAAGTTATCTGCCATTTTCTTGGACAAGCTACTAAAAGTCTTTGTTCCTCAGTGGATCATATGGAAAATCATTACTTCACAAGGTTATAGACTGTAGATATGGAAAGTACCCAATAAAGTGGCTGATGAATAGTAGGAATGGTAAACCCTACTAGTTAGCTGGAAATATCCATTCTTTTTCTCCCTGTCAGAATTTCATTTTGTTCAGAATAGTGATATGCTCTGCTAAAATAACTTCACCCCCATTTGCAGCTAGGGGATGACAAAGTTCTGGCCAATGTAATGTAAGTGGAATTTACAAGAGAGATTTCTTTCCTTAATAAAATGGCAAAAGCTTACCTTGTGAAAACCCTTTCACCTCTCTCCTTCCTCTTTGTACACCTGGAGATGCTGCCGCCATCTTCAAAGCATGAGGACAAGAGCCATGAACAAATGATGACAGAGCAGGAATGTAGACCTTGGGTCTCTGACAGCATCATTGATCTTCCCATTTCTCAACTCTAGATTTATAATACGAAGAAAACAAACCTAACTGCCTTAGGCCAATATTCCTTGAGTTTTATTTTATGTGCAGCCAAACAGAATGCGTTTTTAATACAGGTTTTTCTGTCAGGTGGAAATTACACTAATAGTAATCATCATCATCATCACCACCTGTATCTATGACACAACCCCAGGATATCCATATCTGTATTCTGTTCTTACAGCACTTACCAAAAGGGTTTGATCATGGCTTTGTGAAAGAAACTTAGCAGGAAATATTGATGAGAACCCCTCTAGGGTCTTCATTTTTCTGGAGAGAACAGGAAAAATCCTAACAGCCTCTGGGACTTGGGGGCAAGGACCAGGCAGCAGTCAGACCAAGTCATAGGGTCCTAAAGTGACTGCTAATCCAGGATAGCCCTGTGCCTACACTGCATCCCACTGAATCCCTCTGGATCTGTAGTCTGGAGATCTGTGAGTTTTCTACCCTCTAATTGCCCACAGGCACCTGGGTAACATTAAGAACATCTGGGACAAGCTAAAGCGAGATCAAATGCTGAGTGGAGGGTAATGTTGCAGATTATTTTGTCAATAACAGTGACTACCGATAAGTAGACATGGGTGATGAATAACTGTCTCCCCCACAACCCTTCACTAGTTTATCTTGAAAGCAAATCTCCGACCAAATTTGGCAACATATAAAAATGTATACTAAACATTTATTAGGAAGCAGTTACAAAACAGCTCATGTAACCAATTCTATAAATTTGGATGAAATTTCAAACTGTTGGATGAAATTCCAACTGTTGGCATTTTAGGTATCCTAACTGCACTGGTGCATGCAATGTTCACTTGAAGCAGATATGATCATATTCTAGAGGCTGGGTTCAATTTGTCTTACAGTAGACATCGGGCAACTCAAGAACTAAGGATTGAGTCAATGGTCAGACTCAGGACAGTGCGGAAATCAGTCTCCAGAAAATATCCCTGAAGGTATAGGACACAGAGTTCTCTACATTTTTATTCTATTTATGCAAGCAGGGAGAGTCTAAAATATTTTACACATCTTGAACATCACTATTTTCACCAGTGAAATCCCATTTCTAGCATTCAAATGCTAATTGACGAGCTATTAATTTAACCAATGAAAACCCATTTTTAACATGCATTCTGCTAATTAAGAATAACTTGGTGGTGTTCAGAGTTTAAGATAGCTGAATCACCTCTGGAAGATGGGCTTCTAACTAGAAATCTAGGTGATGACACCTAGGGTATGAATTTTCAGTTTGGGCAAATGACTGCCCCTCAGGAATGGCTTAAGCTGACTGACATTTACTTAATTTATACTGTCTATAAATTAAGGGGAGGTTTAAATTACAGACATTCTGTTAAGTAGTCCATGCAATTAGTAAAAGGCAAAATCAGAAGTAGCCCTTGTATTTTCTGACTCCCAAATTCCAAAGTCTTACTGTAGTCTCACTGTAGCATCCCAGCTCAGTGTTAATCCGACAAACTGTCCACACTCATTGCCTTAAGAAGTAGCCTTTTCTAAGTTAGACTATTGATATTATAAAAAATGTCCCCACTTAGAGTGAAAAGAGCAAATTTAGTTGCTGATATTTTTCTTGGAGCAGTCTGCACACAGAATAAGGCAGGGTTAAAAAACAGCATCAAATAGTAAAAGTTTGGATTTATAAGAAGTGGTCAAATGTAAAATAACAAAGCTGGTTCCTAGAAAACTAAAAGAAAACAAAATAAGTGTTGACTAAGAAGTTCAAAGCAAATCTTGTTTTGTTATCATCCCTCCTTTATTTTGACTCTGCAGTGTCCATACTTTGCAGGCCCATGCTGATTTCATTACTATTTATGTTCATCTCTTTGATAATTTCTCTTTTATTAGTAAGCATCCACTCCATGACTTCTAATTTATTTTTACATGGCAAATTATGAGAAAGCAATGAAAGAACTCCTAAATGTGATAAATGGTTTCTAGCGGCTTTGCTTACGCTTTCTAAGAAGCTAAGAGATTCCAATGTGGGGATTCCCATGGGGGATTCTGACATGATCTTCTGAAGAAATAAGGAAGGTCTGTATCTACCATCCCAGGCTTCTACTTAGCAAACCATGTTCCTCCCTCGGCTAGGCTCACCACCCCACCCACACAGAGGGGATGCCTTCTAATTCCTGCACTTGCTTTATGGCTTTGTGTAAATGTGTTTAGTGCCTTTTGGCTGTTCTTCTGAAGAAAACTCATCTCAATTGTGCTCCCTGGTTTGTTTAATTGTTGTCAAGGTGAAGGCTGGATATTGCCAACAGAGCCTATCAAGAAGATCTTGTTTTACTGGAGAGTATGATTCAGGAAGAATGAGCACACTGATTGAAGCCAAAACTATGATGAAGTTGTTGGATATTTTTGAGAGGGTGCCGAAGGATGGGTAGAATTAATTTCCACCTGAAGAAACTGGTACTTCTCTCCCCACCCCTAAACAATGGTATATTGATATATTTTCTCCATCTGTAAAACAAAGATACTTTTTCAGTCTCATTCATCAAAATGGCAAAGGCTCCTACAAAAAGCTCAGTAAGACACTAAATGTTAAGTCAGTGCTTAATGATAATCTACCGGAGTCTTTATGGCTTGATCTTCTGAGAATTAAAAACCACTTGGCCTTCCCCGAAACGCTCCACTGGGAATAGCAATGGCTCCTAGATTCTGTGTAATTAAACTTCCTGGAAAGGAGTGGGCTGGGAAGCTGTAGACCACTAAATCAATAGATTAAAAACAACAACAACTACAGGTAAATGGGTTAAATGGTTAAGTGGTAATCCATCTGAGTATTGGCCCTTTCTCTAATAAACCTAATATCAAAGAATGAATGCCATGATACGGAGTTCAAAAAGCACCCTAAACCTAAAACACCTATGGAAAAACCAAGCTGGTTTAACTCACATAATTATTGTGGATTCATTGAAGTCTGAACAGCAATGTATTTAAAGCACTGTCAGGAAATATTAAATCTCCCTTCTGAGACTAGGATTGAAAAAAGGTAGGACAAGGCTCATTTTTTACATTAAAGCAAGATTAGGCCTGATTAGTATTTGAAATATTTCTTTCCCAATTTTGGACAGCATTAGATTTTAGCTAGTGAAATATAAATGAACATCAATTGTATATGACAAATGCTGATCCAAGCCACTTAAAATTCCCTGAATGTCCTTTTCTCTCTTAGACTGACTGCTAGAGTCTCATCATCGAAGTCTGCAGAGCCAACCAGAGGCAGCTCTGTGGTAGAGGCCCCGCCTAAGCCGTGAAGGGTTAGAAAGAGAGCTGTTTGTTTTGTAAGGACATGAATCACTATCAGGACCATAACAACATTGCAAGTTAGGTCACAGGACTCCAAGTCAGTGTGCATTTTGCTCAGGGAGAGGGAGCTTAGAGACTTGTTGCTGCCTTTTTGTTTCAGTGGAAATGAAATCCACTTGTGTCACCATTTCCTCCTGTTTCAGGTTGAGACCAAAGAGATTAAGAGAAACACACTAGTGTCAAACTTTAAAGCCACAATAATAAAGATGGCCAGTGTACCTAGTAAACATTTTTGTTCACGATTTGGAAAATGAAAACTGAAAAAAAGGAAGGACCCTTTGGTTTGTCCTGGAGAGAAATGTAATTACGGTTAGTCCTTGGCCATCATAATGGGTTCTTTGAAGCAGCTTCCTGGACCAAAATAAACAGTTCATTATATACAAATTCAAGAGACAAGGTTGATTTGGCTCTTTGGAATCAAGGTCCTTATCTTTCTATTAGTTTAGTCTAGAAATATGGTAACCAGATTCACCCAAGACACTGACTCTCTCCTCCCCCCTCCCAGATTTGATTTCAAGATCTTGTCTATAAGATCTATTAGAACAAAGAGCCCACTAATTAAGCAGCTAACCCCAAGACTATGCTGTTAGCCTGGGGGGACTTGTTTTATTCCATTAATTTGAGAGCAGCTACTTTATATCCAGTGGTAATTGGTGCAGGACTATCTCTGTCTACTTACATGGGAGGAAATACCACAATTTACTCAATTTGAATGAAATATTCTACAGTTTAGACTGGCTAGCCCCACATTTTTCTTTGTTAGTGATGCTGAAGAAGCCTCCTTTATAGTGTTCTGGAAGATTGCTCCATCTTTATCTATTAGCCATGCAAGTGTTTTGTATTTAGCTAAGGCTGTAGCTGATAGAACCAAAATACTTAGCAGATTTTGGATTGATTCTGCTCTCCACAGCCCAGTCCACTCTTTGCTGTATGAATTGAGCACGAAAGGTCACAGTGAATCAATGCCAGCCTGGCTTTGCAAAAATGTGACTAGAAGGTAGTCAGTCATGGTAGCTCCCTTTTGTGAGAAGGTTATTAAAGTTCACTGGAAAACAATTTCCCCAATCTCACATTTATAATTGAATACTGCTGTTGTGAAGTTTCAATGAGATAAAGTATGTGAAAGTGTTTTGTAAACTCTGTAAAGTAAAAAGTCTAAAAGAAGAGCTGCATAACCATTCAGTGTGGTTCATGCTGAAAAGTGAGATTGTGGGGGAAACTTCACTGTCTCACTTGTACCCTTCTCTAATGTTTAAAATTTTAAAGCTTCAAATGTGTCTTTCTCATAAAATCAGGAAAATAGATAAGAATCTTTCCCTTTTTTCCTGTTTTACACAGGAAGGGATGTAACAGTAGGCTACCTTTTATCTTTAAAACTTACTGTGTCCTGGATTTCAGATGACTAAAACAGGGGTAATTATCAATAGATTTTCAAGGAGAAAAAACTCAAATATCACATACATAGCACAGAGGAGGAAAAGTAAAGCTAGACTTTTCCAGAATCATATCATATTCCATAGATATAATCTTAAAGTTGCTTTTGAGAAAATTTGAAATGATATCTTGTGCATTTAGCTCAGTGTGTAAAAACAACACAATTGTGATTATTTTGAGGAACATGTTTGAGAATGGAACATTAGGCGATTTCGGGACACCAACAGGATTGTTCTGTGGTTCAACATAAAGAAGATGAGGACAAATATAAAAATGGAAACCCCAGGCCCACGGGGCAGCCTAAGGAGGCCCCATTATGAAGGGCACAAGCACCTACACCTCCTGTACCTTACTCAAGATGTCCTTATTCTGCTGTTCTCTTGTTCTTTAGTGTTCTCTTTCAGGGCTCCTCAAGCACCAATTCTAGGTCCGCCATTTTCTAGCAGTTTGAGGTTGGATCCATGCTTTAAGCTTATTGGGCCGCCTCTGCTAAAGTTCTATGACAGTTAAATGAGATTCATAACAAAAGCAATCCAGGAAGTGCATATCCACCTACAAGTGTAAGGTGAAGTATTACGTATTTACTTTCTATACCAACTTGTCAACATTTAGGCAACTGAAGCCCCGTTGCCTCAGGACTTTGTTTCCAGTAGTTAATCTGATAAACTAAATACTGCTTATATGTTGGGGGTGCTAATGAGCTAACTTAATGGCCATTTCAGATAATACATTTACAATAGGAAGGAACTAAAAGGAGCTTTTCCTAGTTGGGTTAGGGAAGGGGAAGAGAAGCTGGAAAGCGTGTCTACACTTAGTGCCTTATGTGCACTCTAATGGGAACTCCATATGCATTGCATTTTAAATCCATATGAGGTATGTACAGGTGCAAGATTTCATAACCAGCACTGGTGATATATAAGTGGATCAGTTCATTAGGGAAACTTTAAGATTGTAATGTGATCAAAGCAGGAACTGGAACCACAATTTGGAACTTGGGTCTTAGGAAAAAAGATGTCACTTGCAGTTTATCTGCATTATTTTGTGCTTTGTTTATCTCAATAATAGGTCATCAGGATTATAAGAATACAACCCAAGGTTAATGATAGATCTAGAGGGGATTGGAAAAGAAAAAGACTTTCTCTTTCAGTAAAAAATTTCAAACAACAAAAAGACACAATAGTATAGTGAAACTCCACGTAGCAGATTCAATCCAGATTCAATATTTATCAAGATTTTCCTTCACTTATTTCATTTATTCCCCCCTTTTTGTTCTGAAGCATGTTAAAGCAAATAGTTAATATAGGAAAGTTAGGTTAAATGTTTAATTTCCCCCGAATTGTCAATTGTGAGAATGCAGTATTATATGCAAGTTACCTCCAACCTGACCAAGGAGGGGTGTGTGTGTGTGTGTGTGTGTGTGTGTGTGTGTATGTTTCATTTTGATTTTGTTTTTATTGCTTTGACTACCCTCTCTTTGTTTGAGCACCATAGCAGACGCATAGGTTTTTTCAGATATTCAATTTTGTGGCAGATGTTGTCAATTCCCTGCCCAAGTCATCCCAACACTCACCATTCCCGAATAGAAAGAAGGAAAGCACCTGCAACTCCCCCCCCTGAGGGTTTTATATCCTCCAATGCACAAGGCAGATAGAAGAGCCAGAGAATTAACATATTTTGAGCATTGCCTCCAACAGTAATGTAAGAGGACAAGTCTGAGGTGTATTCCACACTATTTCCCAGGAGTCCCGGCAGGATCGAGCCCCTGTTGTCCTGCACAGTAACCTGCTTATTAATACACCTTATATTCGCTTCCTACATTTTCCTGTCTCGCTTTATTCTTGTCTCCTGCAGTCATTCCCCAGTAAACCACATGCACTCAAATCCTTGTCTTGGGGTCTGCTTCTTGGGGAACCCAATCTAAGAAAGTTGATCCAAGAGTGGTTATAGGAAGCTGATTGGAGGGATGGAACAGCCCCTACAACTGGTAAATGGGGCAATGATTACCTCTGGCATGGCATACCATTACAATTTCTTAGATTACACCTACAGTGGATTGAGATGGGGAACATGAAGAAGGGAATGTACTGGCTTATGCAATATGTCTAATGGTTGAAAGATATAGGCCGAGAGAAATTATGAGGATTGGGGAATTAGTTGTTACTAACAGCCACAGGAGGAAAGAAAATAACAGACTGAGATCATTAGTCTATTAATTCAGGACATGATATGAAAGTTAGAATGCTTTAATAATAGTGTTTATAGAGGCCACCATCTACTGCATCCAAAAGGCTGTGCAAAAAATCTGGGTGCCATGTTTACAGAGACCACTATCTCTTGCACCCAGTGGCTGAACTGAAAAAAGGCTAAGTCCACAGCTCCTATGCTACAGTATCTCCTACACTAAAGTCAGGACGGACCCTAAGACGTATAATGAGAACTGGGTGGATGTGCTTGACCACTGCCAAGGCCCAGAGAGTCCTCTGAGCCCTCTGGTCCAGGTGGGGTGATCTCCTTCTGCTGGCTTGTGGGAAGCAACCTTCCATTTTTCGGCGGCCATACAGAATACTTACTTGAGATGGATTCCCTTCAAGATGGTGTTTCTTCTTTTTAAAATCTCTACTCCTTCCTGACTCCTTTCATTGCATTTAGATCTGTTTTGTCAAATCCAATAGCCACTAGCCACATACAACTATAAACCAATTGCAGTAAAATACAATCAATTTTTTGGGGTCTTATTCACAGTAGCCACATTTAAAGTAAGTCAATAGCCACACGTGGCTAGTGGCTACCACATTGGATGGAGGACAGATGATAGAACATTTCTATCATTGCAGAAAGTTCTACTGGACAGCACTGATCTAGACCAGAAATTGGCAAACGTATTTGAAAGAATCAGATAGTAAGTACTATAGTGTTTGTAGGCTATATGGTTCCTGTCACTACTACTAAACTCTGCCATCGTAGCGTGAAAGCAGCCCTAACGCATATATAAATAAATTAGTGTGGCTGTGTTCCTTAATGTTACAACAGTTTTAAGTGTCAGGCCAAAGGGCCTTAGTTTGCCCATCTCTGGTCTACGCCAAAAACTAGGGTCAACTCTTAGTATGGTGCAAGAAAGAAGTATTGTCCACACTACAGAAAGAAAAGGAATTATTCACTGAAGGGCTTATGTGTACCAATGTGTTTCAGGACAACATGCCCAGGAATGCATCTTGCAGCTGCTCAGAGGAGATGATTACAAGGTTAGTGGGAAAGAGTGTACTGATATGAGTGCAGGCAAGATTTAACATCCCAGAAAGGACTTCTGGTGCCAAGCGTAACAAATGGCTTCTTAACTCTCAAGCCTACCATTCTCTGGAGTCTTATAGTAAATGAAATGGAGATTCCAGAACTGCCTTGGCAGAGTACTAGGGAAAGGATGAAAAGGATCAGAGACGTGCCAAACAAAAACAAAAGTAACAACAACGAACTCCAGCTATCTATGTTCCCCAGGAGGGCCCAGAGGCTATCCCTTCCCTAAAGCAATGAGGAATGGAAGGAGTTAATATAGTCATTTGTGGGCCAGGAGGTGGCAGGGGAGGTTGTTACAGACCTGGCTTACTTAGTATCAATGGAGATGATAAACTTCTGGCATAAGAGAGGCCAGGTGGTAACACTTAACCATCAGAAGCAAAGTGAACGTAATTTCCATAACAGGCAGTGCAGCTGGAATGACAACGAGGAGCCCTTGATCCATAGGAATCTGTGAAGATGTTCAATACACCATGGTATTTTAGTTGGGCAGCTGATCATCAATTGTGGATGATCAGAAAGCTGCCATATTGGAAAATTATGATCTCTCACACCATCCTGAGGCCCAGAGTTAATTGAAGAGAAGGCTATTTCCCTTTGAGGAAATATGCTATAACGCTACCGTAGCTATTTTCCCAATCCATTCCCAATGGCTTTATGTTCATTTACGAAATAATTGTACACTGGGGGAAAGGAGATTTTTCAAGGGCTGAGGGTACTGAATTGTAGGTGATACCGATAAATGAAGAGAATCAAAATGCCTATGGGCTATGGAAGCCATGTGATAAATAGAGTCTTATCCCAGCTCTATCTCACAGTGAATACAATGAATCTGTTTTCCCACCCTATGATGATGTTTTTCCAGCCCCCAAATGCATCATCAGGATGAATTTACCTAGAACTTGGTAGAACCCTCATATTTATGACTTGATTTTGTGAAGTAAGAGGGGTATGATAAGGGAAGTTAGTGGAAGTATTGTAGGCAGAATAATGGCCCCTTATATATGTCCATGTCCTAATCTCTGGAACCTATGAATATATTAGTTTATATTGTAAGGGGTAATTAAAGTTGCAAATGAAACTAAAGTTACTAATCAGCTGACTTTCAGTTGAAGAGATTATTCTGGATTATCTAGGTGGCCCCAAACAATCCTGAGTCCTTATAAATAGAAGAAAGAGGCAGAAAAAGAAGTCAGTCAGAGATTTAAACATGCTACGCGGCTGGCTTTGAAGGTGGAGGAAGGGTACATGAGAGTTCTTCCCTGCCTGCCAAGGAATGCAAGCAGTCTCTAGAAGCTGGAAAAGTCTAGGAAACAAATTCTCTAGACCTCAAGAATAAATATAGCTCTGCTGAAAACTTGATTTTATTTCACTGAGACCCATTCTGGACTTCTAATATCCAGAACTGTAAGATAACAAATTATGCTGTTTTAAGCACTAAATTTGTGGTAATTTGCTACAGCAGTAATAGAAAACTAATATAGGAAGCTCTTAAATTTGTACCAATAACCTCCATCCCTGCAAGAAATTAGAACTTAAGAAATAGCATGTCCCAGATGAATAACAGAGATGAGCACCACTCTCAAGGACTTAAAAGAGTTGAGGTGGGATGTCATATTCTATTTTAACTCACTGAAATGAGTTAAAATAGAACCCCCTGAAAATCAAATCATTTATGGCAGAGCGTGGTGAACTACCATAAACTTAAACAAGTGGGACCTGCAGTTTCAGCTGCTATGCCAATGTGTTATCTTTACTAAAATAGATCAAAACAGTATCTGGTATACAGAATGCAGCTGTTGAGCTAGAAGACGCATTCTTTTCCATTCCTGTCATGAAGGAGAATCAAAAGAAATTCTTGGGAATGACAGCAGTACACATTCATTTACAGTTGTGTCAGGGTGATGCTACTTTGCTAGTCATGGTAGTCTTTATATTGCAAAGAACGTTACGTTGGCCCAAATTATTAATGATATTATGTTAACCAGACCTGGTGAGCAGGAAATGTCAAGTACTCTGAATGCTCTGAAACTCATGTGCATACCAGGGTGAGAAGGAAATCTTATCAAGGAAGTCTTATGAAGACCATATTGGTGATGTCTTTAGGGGTCCAGTTGTTTGCAGTGTGCCATGACATTCCCTCCAACATAAAACACAAGTTATTGCATCTTGAACATTCCATCA